AGGGTTTCTCTGTGTAGACCTGGCTGTCCTGGAACTTGCTCTGTAGACTAGGCTGGCCTCAAACTCACAGAGATCCTCCTGCCTCTGCCTCCCCATACTTCAGCTTTTAAAAGGCCATTTTATAAGCGCTTTCCTGTTGTATATATTAAGAGTTTGTTATATGTATGCCATTGCTGACAATTTTTTTTTAACCTCAAAAAACTGGATTCGTAGATGTCAGCAGCGTATGAGGAGTACAAGTGTTGATGAATGAAACTTGTGAACTGTTAGTGCTGCTTACCCGTGCACTGGCGGGCCGGGCATTTCCCTGCCCTGAAGTTGTGTTCAGTGTTACACCTGTGCCGGTGTGGCTCCTGACGTGTTGCCGTTGTTCCTTTGACTGATGTCACCGACTACTTGGAGCCTTAGCATCTTTGTATTGTTTGTGCACCATCGTATTTCTTTTCTTGTGAGGTTTCTGTTCATAATTTTGCTCACATTTTTAATGACTTGGGAAGCTAGTTCTTTTTTACTGGGATAGGAATTGCTTGGTTGAGTTTAGAAAATATCTACTGAAACAATTCTTGGTTTGGGGTCTTATTTACATAAAGATGAGTAAGATGGACTCATTAACCTCAATTTGTGTTCTATCAAGGTTCATTTTATCTGTAAACCAAGCTTCTCTATTGTCCCTGCACTCAAATATACTTAACTTTGGCTCCATGAGTTAGTCTAATGTTATTTCCCGGCTTAGTGTAGCCATTTGTAAAGCATCGGTCTCCGGCACTAGCCTGTGTCTGCTTTCCTCTTTCCCCGGTGTGTCTGAGTGTTCCGGTTCTCTCATGGTAGTGGTAAACTATAATGGATTTTCCTTTTTCATCAAACTATGTTGGGTTTTGCTTCTGTAATCTGTATCTGATTTCCAAGGACCCTTCCCCCTTTTTTTCCAGATTAAAATTACTATCTTTTATTTTCAAAATGTCTTAAAATGCTGTTGCACCTGTAAACTTGATCCTAATGCACATGAATTCTCCTTTCTCAGAGTGAAGATACGCAACAGCAAATCATCAGGGAGACTTTCCATTTGGTGTCTAAGCGAGATGAGAATGTTTGTAATTTCCTAGAAGGAGGATTGTAAGTAAAGCATTTCATGGGTATTTCTAATTTCTAGTGTGTGATAAAAGTATATACTACTAACCAGTTTATGATGAAAATTCCTCATAATTAATTAAATTAGGTAAATTAATTGCTATCACTGTTAGGCATAACTCTGATCTATACACTTTTTTTTTTTTAACATACTCAGTCTTTCTAAAAATGTCCCTCTCCCAGCCTTAATCTTTTTATCTTTTTTCCCCAGTTTTTTGTGTATCCTTCCAGAAAGTGTATTTTATATTTACTGACATATAAAAATATAGCCTTAAAATATTTTACTTAGGAGATCACAATGTTCATTTGCATGTTGCTTTTTTTACTTAGTATTTTGTAAAATTTTGCCTATAAATCTATCTGGAGAAATGGAATTTATCTAGGAAAGTTGCTAGCTGCCAACCCTGACGACCGGAATCCGATCCCTAGGACCCACGTAGTAGAAGGAGAGAACGTACTCCAACAAGTTGTCATTTGACATACGTACACCCACACCCACACCCACACCCACATCCACAAATACATAAATGGAATAGATGTTTAAAACGTCTGAAACATCATTCTTTCCAATGGCTATAGGATTCCTAGGGTGAATGCACATAAAAATTCAGATCATATCCTTTGTTTTATTATAAACAAAGTCCAAGTCTGTTTTTCAAATCTATCTGTGTACCTAATATAACCCTAGTATAGATTCACCTAGTAGATGTTTCTATTTTTAAAATGAAAAAAATTAGCTTGCAAACTAAACAAATACTGTAAATATTTCTTTTTCTTTTTCATTGTTTGCAGCATTGGGAATTAAACCCAAGGCTTTGTGCATGCTAGGCAAGTGTTTTCCTACTGACGTGCATCCCAAACTCTAAATAAATACTTTAGATGAATGGATTCTATTGAAAGCAGTTTACCTTCAAATATTTCCATAAATACTTTTTCCCCAGTTATATGATTAATACACTTAATATTTTCTCATTGGGAATTAAACTAAGTATCAGAAAAGCCTCATGAATGGTAAGATGCATATTGTTATTATATGTCAGGCAACAGAACCCATTTTTGTCTGACCATATGCTTTTTTTTTAATCATGTGGGAAATTTACTTGCATATCAGCAGCCAACTCGTCTTTAGTTACATTTTAAAATGTTCTATCATGCTGTACTTCAACATGTAATGCATATTTATAATTTGTAGGTTTTGGTGTTAACCCCTCCAGACTATAACTTAATGACCAGGACAGCGACTTGTTCTGCTTCTGTTCAGCCTCTGTAGGAATCTAGTCGTCTTTGCCACAGCTATTGCTTCTTTCTCTTAGCCCTTTACCTTATCTCACAGACTTCCCCCTCACGTAGTGCATTGCACAGGTAGAGTGGTGAGGACCAGAGTGACAGAAAGGGCCCTGTTTGGATAGGAATTATGCTTTGGATTGAGATTCTTTCCTAACCATATAAAAATGGGAAGTGGTTACTGTGCCTGAGATGAGGCTGCTCATCTGTCCTTGTTCTGGTTTTGAACCTGGCTAGTCAGTTCCCTGGGTCAGATTGTTCAAATCCTTGGAACTTCATTTTCTCCTCTAAAATGAAATATTAGGTCTAAGAAGATATCAAAAATTAGGACTTTCTCTTTATAAAATTTTTTTACATACTGTATTTCACCTCTGTACTGTCTAGTTTTTTGTCAATTTGACACAAACGAGTCATCAGAGAGGAGGGAGCCTCAATCGAGAAAATGCCTCCATAAGGTCCAGCTGTAAATTATTTTCTTCATTACTGATCAGTGTGGGAGGCCCAGTGTGGTGCCATCCCTGGGCTGGTGGTTCTGGACTCCATAAGAAAGCAGGCTGAGCAAGCCATTTGGAGCAAGTCAGTCAGCAGCACCCCTCCATGGCCCCTGCATCAGCTCCTGCCTCCAGGATCCTGCCCTGTTTGAGTTCCTGTCCTGCTTCCTTCAGTGATGGACTTCTATGTGAAAAGGGAAGCCAAGTTAACCCTTTCCTCCCCTGCTTGTTTTTTGGTCACGGTGTTTCATCATAGCAATAGAAACCCTAACTAAGACTTCATACAAGAGTTTGTATCAGTATTAGACTTGTTTAAAGTGAAGTTGTATTTTCATTGCCAACTATGGATTTGCTTTGTAGAGGTCCTTAGTTTCTCTGAGCATTAATCTACTTTATAACACATTTTTCAGAAGCATGGTCTTTAAAACAAAACAAAAGACAAGCTATAGTGAAATTGCTGAGGTGCTTATTTCACCCCTTCAGGGAACAACTGTGACTGTTGTCATAACCAATATCAGAATGTTTGAAGTGCACATACAGACTTTGAATTTAAATCCTCTCCAGACAAGTAACAGCATAGTAAGAATCCTTCACCCCCACCCCACCCCCACAAGATTATTTGTTTTTGCTCTTACAGGACAAGGAAGTAGTATGTACTTAGAGAAGTGGTTTCTTTAGAGCTTGTAAGTTTAGTGTTATATTTATGGAATAAGAAAAATGCCACACCCTATATTGTTGTGAATATGCTCTCTTAGTTCTGATTGTATGTAGCCTAGTTTTAAATTATGTTAATGTTGAAGTGGTCTTGAGAAGGTAAATTTGGTATTATAAACTTGACTATTATACAGCTATAGTGTATTTGGAAATATATAAGATGCCTCAGATGATTCCTAAATTATTCTTTTAAAACTGCTGAATTCTAATCAATATGAATAAAAGTTTTTGATGAAAGAATTGAGTATTCATTAGCCCAGCGTTCTTACATTTAGATTTGAATCTAAATGTAAGAACGCTGGGCTAATGAATAGAGAGCATCTGTCTAAAACTTAAGAAATAATCTTTTTTTTTTCTAGCTGATAATCAGTCTTAAGCTGTGTATTTTACTGTGACCTATGAAGTTATATCTTGTAAGCACTTGCACATACTCTGTGATCTGGCTTTTGCCTGTTCCTTCAGCCTCATTGTTTACTAATCTATTCTTGTCTACTGGCCTCCTGTCTCCTTGAAAGTGCGTATTGTCTTGATGAAAGACTCTTTTCAGCCATTGCTACCTTACTCCAAGGTGCTCCTCTCTTCATTTTTTCGTGGCCCACCCCTAATGACTAGATGTCAGCCTAACTATTACTTTCTTTCTCAGTGTCCATTCTGAAGGGGTATGTCAGGACCTGCCTTGGTTCTCTGTGTGACACCTTCCCTTACCTGTTAACTTTCTTGTCTCTCTTCTGCTATCAGTGCCTGACACACCGTACTTACCCAGTGAATACTTGAATGAATAACTAACTAAAATTAAGTACTGGCTTCTTTTACTTGACATTTCTGAATACTACAATATTGCTGTCTTAATTTACTTAACTTCTGAAGTTTACTTGAATGCTATGCCATTGTTGCATTTTGTTTTATAAAAGGTTTTAACAAATGCAAATTTGCTTGGGCTAATGAAATGTTCTGTATTTTGTTCCCTACACCATTTTAATTATTTTGTTTTGTCATTTAGATTAATTGGAGGATCTGACAACAAACTGATTTATAGACATTATGCAACACTATATTTTGTCTTCTGTGTGGATTCCTCAGAAAGTGAGCTTGGCATTTTAGATCTAATTCAAGTAAGTTAACAGTTGCATCTTAACTACCTTTAATTAGTTTTTTTTTATTATATTTTTATAAACTTAAGATTAAAATTTGGTGAAAATATTTTGTTTGATAAGAAGTGTTCCATAGTTGATACTAGATGGGTATGCTGTGGCATATTGCCTGACATAAATCATGTTAGAGGAAAGATTTATTTTGCTTCATAGTTCTGGAAGTTTCAGTCTGCCAGCTGATCCCACTGCATCGAAGTCCATGGCAAAGCAGTAGCGTAGTGGAAGAGCATGGCAGAGGGACGCTGTTGTCCTCATGGCAGCTGGGAAGCAAAAGGGCCAGGGACAAGATAGACATTTCAAAGACACCTCCAGTGGCCCCTTCCTCCAGCTAGGTTCACTTCCTGATAGACTGTTTAGCTATGAACTTGTAAGTAGATTAATTCACCTAGAAAGACAGTGCCCTCATGATCCAGTTCAAACCATGTCAAGGGATATAGAAACTAATCTGATGAGGACTAATTACAACTAATTTCATCATGCCTTTTCTGTTCCTGTGAGTTACTGCAAGGAGCCCAAGATTGTGAGTGTTTCTGCGTATGTCCAAATCTGACCCTAAAGACTTCACATTCCTAGTCTCCTGAAAAGCTTTTGTAATGTCCATAGAACTCAAGGTCAGTAGTAAGAATGCTGATGGTTGAACCTCATCTGTTAACACTGCTTCAGTTCTTGAAGTTCAATCTTGCTTCTTCGTCATTGCCTTCAACCTTCACAAGTAATAGGTTGTGTGTGTGTGCTTGTGTGCGTGCGTGCGTGCGTGTGTGTGTGTGTGTGTGTGTGTTTGCTTTTTCATATTGTTGAGCCTAGAGATGTTGTATTTGTTTCTTCCAGCGTATTTTCTTTTAAAACGTCTCTAGATTTCATCTCCTGTTATCAGACTAATCTTCCTCCTACATATTTAGTTGTATTTATCTCATTGTACCTCCCATGCCTTGAGGATTTTGTCAACAACTGTCAAGTGTTGGAGATTTTCCTCCAGTTGCAAACTGATAAGTTAATCTAATTTAAAGGATGGCGGCAGAAGAGGAGACAGAGACTTCTAGAATTATTAACAGCAAAAGCATTATCCACAAAACACCCCAAACCATGCTAATATTTTCCTGTACTAGTTCTCAGTCTCAAAACTAGTGAGAGTCTCAAAACTGGCTGGCTGTGAAGAAGCTAGGTGATGCCTGCACCCCAGTAGCTCATCCCACAGGTGGGGGGTCCCCGGCTTAGGGAGCTGAAATTCTTTATAATGGGTAAATCATACCTGCTCTGGGGAGGATGAGATTCTCTTTAAGGGAAAAGGTAAACTTGTCCTTTCCTCTGGAGGAAGACACTATTTTTCCAAGGCTGTTTGTCAGTGTGACAGATTTGAAAAGATAGTCCAAGACTGCATGTGTGAAAGTTCTTGGGGACTTCGGTGCTCACATGTACAGCATTCAGTAGCCCCGTGTCTTCAAACCTGGAACGACACCCCTTCCGAGTTTGCCTTCTGCTCTAGCTTTCTGTTCATGTGTAGACCTCGTTTTTATACAAACTGCAAATCAGACTGTTATCTCAGTTTCAGTTTCTTCTCAGCTGCCTTCATATCTTTCCATGTTTCTGTTTCTCTTACTCTAGGTCCATCTGACATATTTTTCATTCTTGCTGATCCTACCTGTGATGGGGGAATGTCTTTCTGTACACTGTGAATATGTGTTGCTCTGATTGGTTGATAAATAAAGCTATTTGGCCTATGGCAAGGCAGCTTAGAGGCAGATGGGAAATTCAAAGGGAGAGACAGGAAGAAGGCGGAGACACCAGCCAGGCAGCCGCCCAAGGAGCAACATGTAATAGGACGCAGGTAAAGCCACAGAACATGTGGTGATACATAGATTAATAGTTATGGGCTAATTTAAGATGTGAAAGCTAGCTAGCAAAAGGCTTGAGCCATGGCCATGCAGTTATAATTAATATACGCCTCTGTGTGTTTACTTGGGGGAAGCGAGTGGGAAAGATTTGTCCAGACCGCCAGCAGGCCGGGACACAGAAAAGCTCCGACTACAGACCTGGGTCTCTCTTGTCTTTATTCAGTTTAGATTCCATGGGTAGTCACAGTGTACATAGCCTTCTATGCACTTCATTCCTGGTCTGTGCTCACATGTGTGAAAGTATGTAGAGGAAAGGCACAATCACATTTACTGCTCACTTTAGATCACTGATCTCAGGAAGTCCTTAGTGCTGTCCACTGATCATAGTTCATCTCTGTGGTCCATTTTTTTTTTCACCCTAACGTCACTTCCTCAGAACTAGCTAGACCTCACTTCCTAGAGCACTAACAAAATAGAAGCAGTTAGAAGAGAATGTTGGCAAGCTCTTGCTATCTGCCTACCTGTCTGTGTGTTCTATAAGGGCGACCCTCACTGTGCACCTTTTATAGTAGTTTTCACTTCCTCTTGCTCCAGCACCCCCTCCCTCCTCGTATCATTTTATCCTCTCTTCTAAATTGTTCCCTCAGCCAACACTGTGCTCTCTCACCTTTACTCCCCTTCTGTCACTGATTTAATTTTTCTCTCTCCTTTGACAGCAAAATATTTTGTTAAAAAAAGGTAGACCTGAAACCCTGAATTGCGAAGGTCTTAGCAGTCTTGATTCAGATGCTTCACTCTTGATGAGTACTTTCTCTACTTGATTTTGAGGATAGTTTTATTCACTGGTTTTTGTCCTACACCTTTAGTTACTTCATGGGGCCTCTCCATCTCACCTACCTCTAGTTGTTAATAATGTCCGAGGGTTCTGTCTTGAGTATCTTCTTTTTGTTGCTTTATTCCTTTGCTAAGGTGATTTGATCCAAATACTATCTGTGTATTGATGGTACCAAATTTAATCTTTAGCCCAGATCTTTCCTTTGAATAACTGACTGTGAAGCCCAATTTTCTGCTGGACGTCTCCACTTGAGTATTATATGAAGATCTCAAGCTTCCTGTGTTCCAATCTGAGGTAGATCTGAAATCTGTATTTCCTGTAGTGTTTGTTTTATTGTTAGTAACAGCTTTACTCTTCCCGTGCAGGAGGCAGAACCTGAGTACTTTGTTGTCCTAAGGTCTCATTCTCTGTGCCCTGCCTCCATCTGAAGTCAATCTTTGTCTGACCACTTGCTCCCTACCTTCTTCACTGTTACCACCTGTCCAAGCTACCACACTTACCTGTATTGTGGCAGTTCCCTGGCTGGTCTCCCTGCTTCTACTCTTTTGGGTCTTTACTAAGTACATCAGCCAGAAGCCATTGCAGTATGCCGCATATCACACCTTTTATTCTAGACTCTTCCTAACCTCCTCTTTACTAGAGTAAAAGCCACATTTGCCCATTTGTTAGAGGCTACCCTGGAGCCTGTGTGTTCTAGCACCCACCCTGCCCCCATTGCTTATCTTCCTTCTGTCCCCTTCTCATGTGCTTAGCCTCTTGCTGATGTAACAGGCATCAGCAAGATTGGTTCTTGCTGACTTCTGTACCTGGAGTGTCCTTTCATTTGATACCCACCTGGCTGGCTCCATATCATTCTTCCAGATTTTGACCTAGATACTACCTTTTCAATATGGAAATCTCCAGCCATGCTTTTTAAAAATCCCTCTACATTTCTAACATCCATCTGCTGTATTTTTTTTCCATAGCACCTGTTACTGTTTTATATGCCGTATGGTTGACATACTTTATTATCATTTACTGCTAATAGAATAAAAGCTCTATGAGAACCTAGAAATTATGTTATTTATTGGCTTATCTACCAGAACTATATATTGCATTGCGTTATTTTTGATTTATATAAGAAATAGTAGGTCTTCAAGCAATAATTGTTTGATGAGTGAATAAATGAATGAATTTAATGCCCACATACAGTATATAGCATATAATAACTGACAATAAAGCCCAAAGGCTAATTAGAATAGTTATATAGAAAATAAAATATAACTATCACTATATGCTATTGACATTTTCTTATCTGAGTTCTGCTTAATGTGCTAATTTGTGAGAGTCATTAAGCCCTCTATATGTACTGAGGACTTTTATGTTTTCAGTTTATATGCAGTACCATCTCTAAAAGCTAAAGAAAGAAGAAGAAGAAAACTTTAACTTTAAAAAGGTAGTTGTGGGCCAGAGAGCAGGTAGAAGCACTTGGCGTACAAGCTTGCTGGACAGACCCACAGTGGAAAGACCCACATCCATGAAGTTGTCCTCTAACCCCATATACCCATGTGGGTGGGCTCGGGCTGGCGGGCGGACACACACTAGTGAATAATTCCTAAAAATTTAAATGTAACTGATGCAAGTAATTGTATCGGATCAAGATTATCAAGAGGAAATACACAGAATTTGTTTGTTTGTTTGATTTCTATCTGAATAGTACACAGAGATGTGGCATCAGTAAGTTGTAAGCTGGGAAAAGCTGCATGTAAAAGATTTCTTTTTCAGTTGAGTTACGGATTTTTAAATCTCCAGGAAGGAAGCATCCCTGGATTTTAAATGAGAAATTACTGAATGACCAATCTTAGAAATATAAGTGGGTATTGTAACTGTCAATAAGTAAAAACAATAAAGGATAGTGGAGCTATTAGTATATCACTTTATTCTTAAACCTGTAATTCTGGGTTTTTGTTTGTTTGTTTGTTTGTTTTAAGACAGGTTCTCATTATGTAGTCTTGGCTGGCCTCATACTTATTAGGTAGGTCAGGCTGGACTCGAACTCACAGAGATCTGCCTCATGGGTGCTGGGATTAAAGGTGTGCACTACCATACTTGACAAGTCTGTAATTCTTTTTTGTTTGTTTTAAGATTTTAAGATTTTATTTTTATGTATTTGTCTGTGCATGTGCATATGAGTACCCAAGGAAGCCAAAAGAGTGTTGGAACATCTGGAACTGGAGTCACAGGCACTTGGGAGCTGCTCAGTGTAGATTCTGAGAACTGTACTAAGGTTTTCTGAAAGAGCCTTACATGTTCTT